CCAGAACGAGCCGGTGTTCCTCCATCTACAGCTGTGAGGATTAAATTGTGAACAGCCTGGTGCTCACGATCCAAAGCTTTTTTCAAAATCAGTTCAGCGAACTTGGACCCGTCTCTTCCAGTCTGGATCTCAATGTTAAAATATTCACTTTCACTGAGATGATATGTTTTAACTGAATTTGTTCCAACATCAGCATCAACCGCATTACTCAGAGAAAACCTCTCTCCTTTCGGCGTCGCTTCAGAGATGTCTAAATGAATGGTGTCTCTCCGGAATTGTGGGGCGTTGTCGTTCATGTCCAAAATTTCTACCTCTATATTAAAAATACGAACTGGGTTATCTAAAATAACTTCCAGTCTGAGATAGCATGAAGCCGACGACTTTGTATTGCAAACGTATTCTCTGTCGATTTTTTCGATGACGTAAAGCTCTCCAGTGTCTTTGTTTACGTTCAGATATTTCTTGTTTGCTACGATGTCAATGCGCATTTTTCTTTCATTGAGTGTTTTCAGATCCAGACTGAGATCAGTCGCGAGATTGGCTACTACGGATCCTTCTTTCATTTCCTCTGGTATGGAGTAGTGACTTACGGAGGTAGATATGTTCTGGACGATCGAAAAAACAATAAGGACCGAAAGCACCACGTACCTTTGTAAAGACTCCATTGTTACTGGAGATCCCGTAGTTGTGTGTGAGTCACAGGAAATGTTAATTAAAAATCTTTCCAAAACGGCGAGTTTCTAAGAGACTTATTCCCAGGCACATACGCACAGATATATAGCGGTCAAATTCGATGCGAATAAAAACACTGCATTTTGGAGCGGAGGTTCAGCACCACGGAGCTGTCACCGATTTTTCGAAACCGTTCTAATGAAAGCGATTCACGTTAATGGCGTGTGGCTGGCAGTTTACTAACAAAACAGCGACACCCTTCATCCTGTCGCTGACTCTTTAAGCTTAACTTAATAATATATATCTATATTTTCTTTTTATCAGAGTGCATGTATAAATTAAGACTTAAACTTGAACGCATTACCCTGCATTCAGTAAAAATAAAATTGGTTCTTCCACAATTAAGTGAAAATCACTCCGAGTTAGCCAAACCTTGTTTTTGGTACCTCTTTATAAAATGTAATCTGCTTGTTTTTTTACAGGTATGCAAATTTCCTATTTTTGTATTCCCCTCTCTTGTGAAGAATTTATTTTAAAAAAATTGACACATCAAATTTAGGTTTGAACAAATGCAGATCAAGTTGAATATGAAAAGAATCAGCATTAGATGCATGAGAATAAAAAGTGTGAAGCAAGAACTGTCTTGATTATGATCATTTGAGAACTTTCGGGTAGCAGTGTAAAAAAAATCTTTCTTATAACATCAAATATACAATCAAACTAGTATATAGTGTGTCGTTGAAACCAAAATCTTTATCCATCTATCCAAATATATATGGCAAAAACTAATAATGAGTGTGAAAGAGGGTCTGTTCACCAAAAATTCTCAATAACTGCAATTACCTTTTTTGTTTGGGCATTTCCAAAAAATAATAGCCATGAACATACAGAAGTCAGAATGAAATATTTTATCAACCAAAAAATCATATCTGGACTTTTGGAATTGCTTTTTTTAAATATTGTAATTAAAAACAATTCACAAAAAATTATTGGAACTGCTAGGTATATGACATAAAATACATTATTTAACCCATTTTTGTGTATGCAGTAAGAATCAAAACATGGTAACTGACATATCAGTACAGTAGAATATTGCAATCATAGAGTTAGTCACAATAGGACTAATATATGATCAAACTTTTTAGGGGCTTCTGGGGAAGCAAGAAGCTTCAGACAATTTTTACATATGAGTTTTCTTGTTACTTCAAATCCCTACCTGCAGAGTAGATGCTGCCGAGTCACTGGTGTCAGTCAGTCCCGTCCCTCTTGGTATGCTGGACACGATGTACCTGGAGCCTTTTGGCAGAGGTTGTCTGACCACCAGCTTTCCTTTCCTGGTCTCTGCCAGAAACAGACT